GATTTTTTCAATTCTACTGATGATGACGTTGTCCCTGCATTTGCTTGTTTAGATGAACTTGGAGGTTGTTGATTATGATTATAGATTTGCATGGGTTGATGATGTTGGTGATTGTTGAATGGTGATTTCTTTATTATTGCTATCATGTTCTTTTTAAACCACGACTCAACTGGATTTTTCTATAGTCACTGTTAGAATTACTATGAGCGATAGAGAAACTGGACACTACTTTGTTCATAGTCACAGTTAATTGTTTTGTTTTTATATTTTTTAGAACAATCCATGTCAACTATTTCTTTTGTAATATGATAAATAGCGTCTTTAGTTAATTGATAATTTTTATTCTCAATATTGTTCACGTAATGAATGTTTGACCCGTGCGTCTGCATGTTTCCACTGATGATCATCATCAATGTTTTTAATTTTCTTTAAATCGTATGTTTCAATTTTTATGAGATGTCTTTGTGTAACAAGCAATAACAACTGAAAAATGGAAATTATGAATTACTTAACTAATGTAGAAATAAACGTTAATAAACAAGTTTGGGTGTCTTAGCTCACGTATATTACATTCATTGATCATATACCTATATAACACCTCTCCCCTTAGAACAGCCGTCTTCAACGTTTTACAAATCAAGGGTTAAAACATTTAAAGCCGGATTGTAGATTTGTTTTAACATTTACTTGAATTTTATTGTACAAATTGTTTAAAAGCCTGGGAAACTGATTTAGAGAGTGATTTTTCCTAAGATCCTTTTTTTTCCAACTGTAATAAAATTTCTCGTCAAGCTATGTTAAGAGGTCGAAAAAATGCAACATCAAGTGGCTGGGTCAGATGTGTAGTATTCGGTGGTGTTACGTGGCGAATGAATAAACTTGCTTATTAAAAACTAATTTTTATTATCTACACAAAAATGGTACAAATATGAGATTACGATGAATTCGGAATTATGACTGAGCGCCGAATGAAGGGAGGCGGCCTTTAAGGGGGTCTTCCTATGCGACGGCCTGTTTTTTAGGGATATTTTAGGATTTTTTTTTCTACGACCAGTAAATATTTAGAGCTTCAAGTTTTTTATCATTTATTAACACATATTTGGACAGTATACAGTTACAGCGCTCTGAACACCCCCGCCTCGAAAAAAAGAGCTCCCACTTCCTCCACGATTCCGGCTGATCGGCTTATCTGAAAAAAAAAACGGCGTTTTAATTTGTAGGCTTAAAAGCACGGAATGACCTATAATCAAATGAATATAAAAAAAATTGGATTTTTGATAGACATTTGAAATAAAAGTTGCAAATTAGGCGTTTTTTTTTTGTTTTTTGCTATAAAAAAATCGAAGTTTTGAAAATTTTCGATTGATAATAGTTCATTCCATGCGTTTACATATATTGAGTGTGCCCTGTAAATTTCAAGTAATTCGGTCCAGCCGTTTCTGAGATACAATGGAGGAAAGTTTGAAAAACACAGTTTTGAGAAAAACGCGTTTAAAGTTTCAAGTCCGTTAAAAACTATTAAAATATCAACTTACTCTCAATCGGCGATGCCTGGTCCATAGAGTATTCCTTCCTCTTCCTCGTGAAACTCTTTTAAAGCAGATTGTTCAGCTCTTGAGTCAATCCTGGCTTGTTTAACGACATCACTTACGCGCCGCTCAGAGCGTAAGATTCGCTTTTCATCCCGTTTCTCAACATACGCTTGGGCTTCACGACCAACAGGGCATCCCATAATCGACATAACTTTTAAAATACCTTTGAAAACCTTCATTAAAGATAATAACTGCTAAGTAGCTAGCAATTTCAACAACTTTGGGACCAGAATGAAGATGTTTAGGAGCGAAAGTCCAAATCAAAGAATTCAAAGATTCGTTATTGTTTTGTGTCTCTGCTCCTAAACAACGAATTAATAATTCGTCTTTCGATAAATCTTCGAAAACCGGTTTGATAGCTTCTTGGACTTGCGGAATTAGAGGTGGTTTATCGTGATGAAATTGGTCCAGTTCATTATTAGCTTCAGCCTTACGCCATTTACACCAACTGTCTTCGCCTTCTGGACAAAATTGATGCTGAGGGTTTTCATCAGAAGAACATTTGTGATAGTACGTTGCCCAAACTTCCTTTCTCATATCTTCAAGCGAATCTGGATGGCGTCGAATTGCTAATCCGTAGAATTTTGTAATTTCTTGGATAACTTTATCAGTAAGTTTACCTGCTCCTTTTCCTCCTATTCCTTTATTGGTTTTATCCTTTTTAACAGCCCGAAGTCGTGTTCCCATCCTCTTTTCTACGTGACCCACACATTCTTTTTTTTGTTACGGCAGTATCTCCATACGGTTTAGTATCTAGGATGCCCTTGAAAGTTTTGCTGTCACCGTCGCCAATGTATGTTAGATACTTTACGCCATATTTTTCTACAGACCTCAGAAACATTTTCGTGATGGCACTTATTTCCATTTTACCGGAACTTCCGGAATGGTTTATGGTGCATTCATCTACATGCGTTTCATACCACATCTCGTATTCTAAAGGATTTGTTTTTTTTTTATTTTTCCACAAATTACATCCACCACAAAAACTACTCATGACCATGACATCTAAAACTTTCCCAGTGTACTTGCCGATCAACGTAGATACGCCGAGCAGAGATGAAAAGCCTCTTTTCTTCCAAGTACCGTCACCTGACACAATCAATTCATCCTGTGGTTTTCCTGATTCTTCATTCATAGTTTTTTCTTGCGTAACAGCGAATGCCAATAAAGTATCACACAGTGAAGATGTAGCAATATGAATGTTTTCCAGTAGTGCAGTATAAGTAGAATTTGCAAGACCCGAACACATGTCCATAAAGCTACAGAAAAGATTTACTCCTTCTTGACCAACTCCCAACTTTTTACACTACTGTGTTTCTGCTGTAATACAAATACATATTCAAAATATCTTTATTTATGTAGGTCTATTACAGACTCTTACGATATGTTAAATCTACCGTAAGTTCGGAATGATTTCGAGATGAGAAGAACTGACAAGAAACTCAGCTCGTATTCTTTTCAAATAAATGTTGTACATATTTACAATAATACAGATTCATTTTTATAACATTGGCATAACATAACCGTGGCAAAAAGATCAAGCGAAAATCATGCTCTGTGCAATTTTTTATAGCATCTAAAGATAGATGACAATTCCCTCTGTTTTATTTGCATACGGCTTTAGTACCACCTGTTTCCCATAATCCCATAATTAGATTTTCTCCATTTTGTTCCAAATAGAGAACTGATTTCGAAGGTATGGGTAGTATTAGGGTGTCCCCTTCAAGAGTAATGATGAGTATTTCGGGAGTAGAAATGGGCAGTGGGAAAAAACTCAACGGGAATATACCCAGGTTTTTCCCATTTGGGAATCGGGTATATACATATGTGGGAAAAAACCATTAAACGAGTATTTTCATTATTTAACGTAATCACTATCTTAAAAAATTAACATTTTCATTTTTAGAACTTTGCGATGTGCTTATACTTTGCGCAAGCGTATATAGGGTACTAGCTGTTGCCTCGAAACGTCAAACTGTGTAGCCTGATTCAGGAACTAAAATAAAACCAGCAGTTTATTATAACAACAAAAAGATGTCGTCTTGTTTTATCATAACATTTTTCTGTGCATTATGATTGCAGAAAAAACATCTATTGAAACTTAAGAATCTTTGACAAAAAAAAAAAGTAAAACAACGAGAGATACTTACTAACAATTATTTATTATTACTTTACAAAAGTGTTTTTTGTACAATTGAAATTTTTTAATTACTGTCGCTACTATCATAGTCATTAAATATTGCAAAATTCTATTTCTTGTGTATTTCCACGAGATGTTGAAGGTCGTTCATTTATTGGGCTACCTAACGGACTTGACAATTGCCTAGTTGATAACGGCTGTAGCCGGTTCTCTCCACCAAACTGCCGGGCCCATTTCGGCGACATGCTTCCATATAAATGGTCTTCTGCAGCGGTCTTCAACGTTTTACAATACAAGGGCCAAAAAAAAAATTTATTCTGCTCAGCGGGCCGCACCATAGGTATTTTATAGGCAATGGTCAGAATGATTAAACAAGTAGATAAGTAGAAGAAGAAATTATTGACACATCAAATAAAAATCAATTTAATTCAATTGGTTAATGAGATATCTGACACTGTTTATTTTTAACCAGTTTATCAATATCTGGTTTAATATTGCTGGTTGCAGTCCTCAAACTATTCTCAAGGTGAACATCGGTGATTCTGGTCCTCATTTTGGATTTCACGTTTTTCATGCGTGAAAATAACTGCTCACATATATATGTGGATCCAAAAAGTGATATAAAGCCTGACCAAAAAAATAAAAAACCTGCTCTGAGGGCGCTATATTAACTATGATTATGGCAACATCTACTGTAGTCATACTATGAATTGGCAAGTGTACTTTTTTTAGCTAGTGTTTAATTTAATATCAACTATCGCAGAAAGTTAGTTTACCTACTATTTATTTAAATTCGCGGCTAGAAGAAGAATCGACGTTAAATTTTTTTTTTAATCACTACAATACAATCTAGGTTTATTTCTTTCTTTTCTAACGACTCAGGAAGGACAGTTAAAATTTACTTTTTAAAAGTTGTTCCTACTACAAGTTTTTTTTAAAGTAAATATTTAATTTTTAAAGTACAGGCAGTCCTCGTACTTACGGCATGTTAGGTTCTCGAAATACGCGACGTAAATCGAAACGACGTAAGTCGAGACATATTTTTTCATATGTTTACATGTAAAACTCAAGGGTTAGGTTCCACACGGACTCGAAATAATAAAAAAAACTGCATTTATAACAAAGGACGTACTTTATTATTAAAAGTAAGTTCTTAAAATAATTATATATTATGCACTTATGAAATTGCTAGTTATTTTTGGCATTTGTGTGTTATTAATTTTAATAATAATTATAAAACTTATACATATGTAATGATAAATAATAAATTAAACTTTTGGCTTAAAGAAACTATCAATTCTAGATTGCTTGGCTTCTTTCTTCTTGCTATCATACAGATCTTGGTAACAGTGATAGGTTGCACAAATTTTGTTATTAACGTTAAAACTTCTCTCAAAATTAGGATCATTTTCTTCAAAAATTTTCATGGCATTCTTCAAATTTGCAAAGGCTACGGAAAGTTTTTTTAGTGTAAGTTCTTTTTCAGAGTCACTAATAGAAGAAGCTATTTCTTGTGACTCGAGTGCTTCCTTTTGTACTTGTGCCTCCAATTCAATAAGATCTTCATCAGTCAGTTCTTGCGAATGTGAGCTTAACAGATCATCAATATCATCAGTAGTAACTGCAATGTCAGGCAAACGGTTAGCCAAATGAACAATGTCAGTTGTGATCTCATCGACATTTGGTTGATCTGTAGATGTAGAACTTTCAGATGGCTCAAAAAAAAATGGGCATAACTTTTTCCACACTCCTTTTAAATTGTTGGGTGTCACCTCATCCCATGAAGTAGCAATATTTTTTACGCATTGCAGGATATTATAACTTTTCCAAAAATCTCTCAGCTCCATGCCATCATTTTCATTAGCCTTTACAGCCTGTGAAAAAGTTCTCCTGAGATAATAGGCCTTAAAAGACGCGATAACTCCTTGATCCATCGGCTGTAACAACGAAGTGGTGTTGGGAGGCAGGAACACGACTTTGATTTGAGGATCAATATCGGCAATACGCACAGGATGGCCGGGAGCATTGTCCAAAATAAGTAAAGCTTTATAAGTCAAATTATTGTTTGAACAGTACTGTTTCACTTCAGGTATAAAATGCTTAGTAAACCATTCTTCAAAAAGTATTGATGTAACCCATGCCTTTGGATTAGCCTTCCATATAACTGGAAGAGTACTCTTGACGTAATTTTTGAGAGCTCGAGGATTTTCAGACCTATAAACTAAAAGGGGTTTCAATTTAAGATCACCTTCAACATTCGAACCCAATAACAACGTCAAACGATCTTTAGCCGCTTTAAATCCAGGCATAGACTTTTCTTCCTGTGATATAAAAGTACGAGAGGGCATTTTTTTCCAAAACAAACCAGTTTCGTCCACGTTAAAAATTTGTTTAGGCGAATAGTCTCCACTTTCGATAATTTCCTTTAATATTCCAGGAAAACTCTGAGCAGCCACATGATCGGCACTAGCAGCTTCTCCTTGCACTCGAATGTTATGCAACGAATATCTCGTTTTAAAGCGCATGAACCATCCGCGACTGGCAGAAAAACATTTTGTTTCGTCACTATTATTCTCGCCACGTTTATTTTGCAGTGTGTTGATGATACTCAGCGCCTTATTTTGTATAATAGCCAAACTTAGAGGAACCCGTCGCTGAGTTTGATCTTGAATCCAATTGTACAACAGTTTTTCCATTTCATAAATTAAAGCATTCCTTTTGCGTATAATAGTGCTGTTTGAAGAGACGGAAGGAAGAGCTGTTAAGAGTTTTTCTTTATCTTTCAATATTGTTTGTACCGTCGTGCGTGATAAATTAAGTTCTCGTCCAATAGATGAAGTCGAATAACCGCGATCTTTGAGTTTTAAAATCTTAGATTTAACCTCCATTGTAATTGACTTTCTTACTCTCTTCTTCACTTTATTATTACTGTCTTGTTTAGGTGGCATTGTTTAAAATTCACTTAAATATGTATGTAAACACAAAAACTGTCAAAGATGCAAAAAAACTAATTTATTACGTCTTGATTGTCCGTTGTCCCTGAATGTACTAAACAAAATCAGCGACATTTGCGGGGTATTCCCCGCACGAGACGACACCGCGCCCCGCCCACGCCCCTCACGGACATTGACCTTGCGACAAGTGAATTCTCCGATATGCCGGAAATCGAAACAAATGACGTATGCTTGAGGAATAGTGTCAAAACATTGTTTGACGTAACTTGAAACGACGTAAATCGAAACGACGTAAGTCGAGGACCGCCTGTATTGTGAAATAAACTTCCTTAAAAGTAAACTATAGGCATTCTGATTCTGATTCTAATTAGGCAGTTTAAAAAAAAAGTACAACTTTATTATTTCAGTATTAGCTTTATTTAATATTTTAATAGCATAAGTCTTCAAAGTCAGTATCCAAATATTCAACAGAGTCATATGTTTCATGATCTTCATTGTCTGATTGTTGTGTTTCAATTTCAGATATAACAGATTCATTGCTACTCGTATCACTGGATGTTTCACTATCGTCACCAACATTTATAATAAATTTTTCAATTTCTCCGTCAATTACTGGTCCCCTTTGTCTATAATCTTCTTCTATTTTCTTTGTATGCTCACAACAATTATTCCATTCCACAAATACTACAAAGTTTTTATTTGCATAATTTAAAGCTTGCTTAAAGTCATTATATTCTTTAAATGCATTAAAAGTGTACATTATTGAGTGGTCTGTGGGGTTGAAAATTAATTTACACTTATGTTTACAACAACATTTATGTTTACCACTACATTATTCTAATATGTTTTCATCATAATCATTAAACGCCGATTGTATAGAAGTTATTGGATCAGCTACGGTACCAGCAATCTGTTCAGTGTTTCGTACACAGTTCACACAGTTTACTTGAATTTTATTGTACAAACTGTTAATCTGTATTTCCCAGACTTTTAGTCTGGGAAATACAGATTTAGGAAGTGATTTTCCTTAGATCCTTCTTTTTTTTCCACTGTAATAAAATATCTAGCCAAGCTATTTTAAGAGATCGAAAAAATGCAACATTGAGTGGCTGAGTCAGATGTGTAGTATTCGATGGTGTTACGTGGCGAATGAATAAACTTGCTTATTAAAAACGAATTTTTATTATCTACACAGAAATGGTACAAATATGTGATTGCGATGAATTCGGAATTATTACTGAGCGCCGAACGAAGGGAGGCGGCCTTTAAATAACCAGGGGTTGCTATTTACTATTCTCACAATATTATGTTTACAAACAAACAACAAAATAGATAGCATTACAAACTAAAAGACTTATTAACCCTTATGTTAGTAACCGGGTACCCGGGTAATGTATCTGTGTGAATAGTTTTAAGAAAGTTCAATATTTTATTTTAAGCTCTCAAATCGTCGTTTTTTAACTCAAAAAGAAAGCTAGTTGTGAGTTCATTTAATCGATTTTTTTTTAAATAAGCTTAAACTCCAGCCGTCGCCCCATTAGCAACCGGTATTTCGGATTCGCGGTACGATGTTCAATCATCGGCAATGCTAGTGCTTCACTTAGCTTACGCCTAAATTGACGACGTTCTGTCGTTTTTTTGGCAATCATTTTATTATTTTCATAATAAATAATATATGCCGCAAGTGCAGAAATGTCTAGCATGTTGAAAAACATTGCCATTGGCCATCTCGAAGATCGTCGTTGACTGGTGTATCTCCGCACCATTTGGTCCATTGTATCGACGCCAGCTTTATATTTATTATAAAAATGTATTATTTCTGGTTTTTTTTAGCATCATCACCAACTGATGCATCGAAATGCATCGTAGACATCAGAATGACAGCTTTATTTTTTTTAGGAACGTAAGAACACATGGTAACCTTTTCGTGAAATCCAAAAACTGTGGAATACTGTTCCCTTGTCTTATTTACTCCCATAACACTAGGTATATAAGGTTTATTTTTTTTTACCGTGCCAACAATAGTAGTTTTCCATGATAACAAATGTTTAGCAACGGGTAGAGTAGTAAAGAAATTATCCATGCAGATATTTCTACCACTATTTCGGTACGGAGCCGCCAATTCTTTCACTACTCTTTCACCCTGATTCTTTTCCCGAATGTTATCTGTTTTACCAGTGTACATAATCCCTTGCAAAGGATATGCGTTTTCTGCATCTCACCAAAAACCTGTTTCGTACTAAAAAATACTCGAATCTAGTGCGCGATAGAAAATAAAGGAATAACTTTGAGTTTTTCTCTCTCTCCAACGGCATCTGCTCGGCTCTGACTACCTGGAGTGCCCCATATACGTATCAGATGTCATTCACAACTCTACGTTATTATTGATTTTTTTTTTTCTTTATTCTTTTTTTCTTTACTCTGTCACTTACTATTAATATTTCAGAAAAAAATATTTTGGAAAAGTTTTTTTTTAACAAAATAAACAAAATTTTTAATATTCAGAATCATGGGTACCCGGGTACCCGGTTGCTAAAAGACGTCGGTAAAGTTGGTTACTAACATAAGGGTTAAACTAATGATGTTTTATAACATTAAACATTACTTATGAAGCTAAGACTTATCAACTAATCGTGTCGTAACATAACACAGCGCTTCAAAAATAATTTAAAATGTTTATTATGCTCTCATTTTGATCAATTTCACAATTACCTCCGCCCATCTGGAAAAGTAAGATTTTAAAATGTATTTAAATCTGCTTTAAATTGACCACTTGTTGAATTACGATTTGTTCAGCAATTTCTTCGAATGCAGACAAATAATTTTCAAGAGGATCTTGTTGCAGTCTTCTAATTGCTAAACTTTTTATACTACCGTGTTTCTGCTGTAATAGAAATACAAATTCAAAATATCTTTATTCATGTAGGTCTATTACAGTCTTACGATATGTCAAATCTATCGTCAGTTCGGAATGATTTTGAGATTAGAAGAACTGACAAGATACTCGGCTCGTATTCTTTTCAAATAAATGTTGTACATGTTTACAATAATACATTTCTTTTTTATTCATTTTTAATTCAAATTTGGGAGAATAGAGTGACCCCTAGCATATGCTATTGCAAAAGCAAATCTGATCTAATCTAATCAGTGTTCCTAACCCGAACAGTGGGGACTGCCCCACAATCATTTCCTTCTGTATATAGGATTTGAAATAACCACGACAACGGCTCATCACTAGGTGTAGTATTATGACTGCCAAAATCTCAATTATTATGCAACAAATGATAGGGTTTCTACTGTTTTCCTCGTGTATGGAGTTTGCGTTTTCAAGATCTATACTTGGCCTTCAGAGTCCTTAATGTCCTTGCTATGATATTTTCCCATTTTGAAAGAGAAAATAAATGTGAGTAATACATTTGTCTACTCTAAGATAACTATTTAAGTATTATTTATGAATTATTCAATAGTATAGTGTACATACCAACGAGTATTCGACGACTGTTCCTGTAGTATCTACCTATACTAAATACCGAGTGTTTTAAACATTAAGGAAAATATTACGAGGAAACTTCTAAGATTGTCTTAGTTTCAATACATCAAATAAAGATATAACAATTATATAGGTAGGTAATGAAAACAAAAAACATAGCTTATTACATAATTTATTTTTATTCATCATTAGATAAAAAATTACCATTATCGCTTTCGATGACATTAGATAAATCTGTCTGAAACATTGTCGATCATGTGATGGAGACCATACATTTTGTCCTTTGCATTAGAGTAACACACGCAGCTACTCCATTTTTCTGGTGTGATATGTTGAAGTTCATCTTCAAAAAGTTTTTTTAATCTGTCATTCTGAAGGTTTTGTTATTTCTTGCAACATAGCCTTTAGCCTGCGCCCATACCAACTCAATGGGTTTGCCTCACAGTTGTATGAGGGCGACGTAAAACAATTGTCCCATGCTGCGCTGCCATCTCGTCCACAACATACTTAATGCAATGTTCTTGTTTGTGCTGCCGTACAATGTCTATAAGAGTAGCTATAACCATTGTTGCTTCGAATTAAATATTTTTGTTCGTTAGCCATTCTCTTCTATTCTAGGTTTAGTCCAAGACATTGTAATCAGCGATTCCAATTTACTATTTATCCATCACTACTACGGCATTTAGTTTTGGCAAAATCCCCTTAAACCACTTCTCAAAGAAATCTACATTCATCTGTTGATCTTCTTTATTTTTTTTTTTTTGCTTCAATTATTAATAAGCTGTCGTCTACGAATCCTTCTTATCCGCCTATATGGCCCATAATTAATCGTTTGCCTTTTACTGAAAGCTGTTTCAAGCCACATATTTGAAATTTAAATGTTTTTTTATGTATTCCAAGAAAATTTGTGTAAGTATGGGTCTTCATTGACAACATTAAGAATCTGTAAAGTATTATAATAAGTAAAAAAAATTGGGTAAGGATACAATACTTTTGTTTTACAAAGAACAATATGGTGGACACAAAATATAATGCAGTAGAAGATATAAAGTTTAAGTTATCTTTACAATGGTGGGTGGCTAATTTGCATAAAAAAAACTTTACTTTTCGCCTTATAGCAGCAAAAGTAAAATCGTCTAATTTATCTTTGAAACTGTGGTTCGGTCCACGTTTCTTATGAGAATTGAATTATTCATTTTCTTTGTATTCTTTTAATGCACTGTAAACTGCGGTCACACCAATTTCCAAAATGTCAGCTGTTTTCGTGACACATTCTTTTTCAGAGGTTAGAAGCGGAATTACAAACAAATTGACATTCGACGCGCGCGGCGTTGATCGGTGTTGGCACCACCCGCGACGTGAGCCGCGCTTTATTAATAAGCCGTCAAATAACTTGTTCTAGTTACATACTACTAGTAACTTATATCAGAGCACTTTTATACAATTTTATTGTAAAATAGAAATAATATCCTTTTGTAGTTTGAAATGATTAACTATTCACACT